TTCGTCCTAATCTTTAATCAATTTAGACGTGAATTCTATTCATAATTTATTACGTAGCTGTAAACACACAATATATATATATATATATATATATATATATATATATATATATATATATATATATATATATATATATATATATATATATATAGGGAAAAGATCAAATGAGAACGCTTAAAAGGTTGAGAACGCGAGAACAATTCTGGACCAATCATTATATAAGGGCATATTAGTAATTGTTTTAATTAAATTATATAAAATTAGAAACCATTTTCCTTAAATTTAGGGACCGTTTCCAAAATATATATATATTTTTTTATTAATAAAATATTTTTTTAAAAAAGTTATCATTTTTCTAATTTAAAAAATCATTTTTTATACCAGATGATTCATAAGATGATTCATACGAATTCATTCATTAATGAATGAAAAATAATTTTTTTTATAACTTTTAGGTTTTTGTTTTTTAACTATGCTTTATTTAGATTAAAAAAAAATACTTTTATGTTAAATTCATTAATGATTGAAATGTACATAAAAATAAACTTTTACATAATTGCTTAGAATATTATTTGATCGGGTTATGTTAATCATGAATAATTATAAATAACAACAAATACTTTAATTAATAACATACAATAGGATAGATAAAAAACTCAAAACAATTATAATCACAAATGAAAAAATCACAATACAAAGGTAAAAAAATTGAATACATGTGTAATCGCAAATGAATAAAGAACAATGAGAAGTTAAAAAAATCAGTTGAAATCACTAAAGAATGAAACAGATAAAAAAAAATATCTAATACATTTATAATCATAAAAAATGATGTTGCGCTCATGATTGTTAATCTTGATGCTACCATCACACCCGAAAACAAAGGCACATGTGATCTTTTGTTATTCTTACATTCATACCTATAAAAAAACAAAGGGCAAACAATTAGAAAATATTTGAGTAGTTTTCATGTATGATTATAGCTATATTCGTGTATGATTATTCCTGAAAATAATTCACAAACTATAATAATGTATATATGCATCTTCATTTATTCACAAACACTTGTATATATGGCTATAGTTATATTCATGTATTATTATAACTATATTCATGCATGATTATTCCAGAAAAGGAAGAAAAAAAACAAAGGGCAAACAATTAGAAATATTTGAGTAATTTTGTTTGCATCAATACAGATAAATTTGAATGTTCTATTGGTTTTGCTTGTCATTGAGGGTGTAGCAAAATGTTAGCTTTGATTTTCTTTCATTGAATATTGTCAGAAAAAGAAAATCAAAGAAAAGATTGAGAAAGAATCAAGCAAGCATTCAAGTTCCAGTTTTTTTAATTCGGGCATTTCATCAAGCACCTTATGTGCACAACTTATCTTCTTCCTTTATTAGCCAATTTAAATAAGTAAAGTACCGTACCTGAGAAACATACACAAGAAAAAGAATTTCGCCTCTTGAATCTGGAATATTTGTAACCAAAACGATATGCAATCAAGTATTTGCTCGAATAGTAGGCAGGTCTGTACGTGTCGATCAATTTGAATTTGACATTCAATTTATATATCGAATTATCTGTATGCGATTCAAACAACACACTGGAAATCGAGATTCAGTTTGTTAGAAAACGATGACATAATACTCGTCGATCGATTTGGAGTAGATCAAGAACCGAGAACACAAACAACTTTTTACTTCCCCTTCTCAATATCTCTTTGAATCCTATTGTGTTATTCGCCACTAACAACCCAAATCGGCGGACATTTTTTCCTTCTCGATCTCTCTTTCTCTTTCTCTGAATCCTCTTGCAAGTGATGTTGTTTAGACCAGGGGAAGGTCGGCTATGGTTGTCACAGTCGATGCATCTTATGAAACCCTAGAGAGAGATAGGATATAGATACGAGAATAAGAAAGGTAAGAGGTGAGAGGGTGAGAAATTATAGGAATTAGGTAAAGTTGCAATTCCTATTATGCCCTTCTGACCATTCAAATGTTACACTTAAATGCCAGTACTTTTAGAATTTTTCATAAATCCCCCATTTAATAGTAACCATAGATCTTAGTATTTAGATAGTCCAGATCTGTTCTCGCGTTCTCAACCTTTTAGGCGTTCTCATTTGATCCTACTCCTATATATATATATATGATATATATATATATATATATATATATATATATATATATTATATATATATATACACACACACACACACACATACATACAAGTACCACGTAATAATCAAATAACCCTCTTTTATTAACCTCAAAAGGTTACAATTATTGAACCTAACCACTTCATTATCTTTATTAATGTCTAGTGGAAACGTGGGCGTTACACGTAGAATGTCACATAGGCAAGGGAACCAGCTAACCGGATGCAGTAGGTCACAATGGGAAAACGAACAAAAATTTAGAGTTCATGGTCTATTTTAGCTTGATCGTATGTTTAATGGCTAAATCAAGCCGAAATCGAGAGTTGCATGGTCATTTAAAACATTCGTAAATTAAAAAGACCATGATAATACTTAGGTGTAGTGAATGTATGTGTGTATGGACTTGTGAGTCAAGTCCCATGCATTGTATCAAGGGAATTTTAACGTGATCTGCATTTTCCCATGCATTGTATCAAAGGAATTTTAACATGATCTGCATTTTGACCGAACGGTTCATATGATATTTAGTTTTGTTACTTCAAAAAGAAGCAACAAATTACAAAAATGTTCTATTAGATCATTTATGTGGGGTAAACATGATTTGTTTTTTTTATTACAACCCAAACAAAACCTAAATAAAAACTTGTATGAAAGTAGTTAAAAACTAAAAACAAAAAGCTCCCAAAAACTACTTGAATTAGTTTTTGAATTTGAAGTTTTTGTTTAAAATAAAAGCTAAAAACTCTGTGTTAAACACACAATGAATTAAAACTATATGTAAATAGATGTTGATTTGGATTTTTCCGTTTTGTTTTATCTTTATAAATACAAAATGGGGGATATATTTCATTTTCTCTAAAAATATCCCAAAAAATAAAAATGTTGGTCTTATATTACCTTTCAATTGTTAAGTTTCATTTTTTTCGGTTTCGTTTTTTTTTCATGCTCCTACAATTCTGGTAGCTTTTTGGACCGGAAGTATAAAATTAAAAATTAAAGGGAAAATGACTATTGAGGGTAACTAACTGTTGCGTTTGTTCTCATTTGATCCCTTTTTTTGTACTCAATATACCATCGAACTTGTTGTCTGTGTTCACCATAACCCTTTTGACTGGCTTTTGACCTGTGATAGCCGGTCAAAGGGTTATGGTGAACACAAACAACAAGTTCGATGGTATATTGAGTACAAAAAAAAGGAAAGTGACCAAATGAGAACAAATGCAATAGTTGGTTACCCTCTTCATTCATTTTCCCTTTACTCATTTACAGCAAATCCTACGTTATCTCCTACTGATATTAATGATTTTATGAGATTCATTCTTTCTTCTTTTCAAAACATAACCTACGAAAGAATATTATTCATACATGTACAACTTTGTAATGCACTTGAATATTTATTGGGGGAATCTTGACTAAGCAGGTGCATTTCATGACTACATTTACATTTCTAATCAAATGATTTATCGTATCATGGATTCTAGACAAGTCTACAAACGAGTGGAATCACAAGTGTTGTGATTTTTGAGTTTACTTAGCTTTAAGATCGAATTCATGAGATAAGATACAACATCAATATGTACAATATCATGCAACTTTTGCAGACACATCACCATAATATACCTTGAGGTAAACGTTTATGTTGATAAATATACATCTCATACACAGTCATATCCTTTTTGTAGAGAGGTGTTGACAGCTAACCACAGTAATCATAACATAGACCATGTTTTAACGAAGTTACCCCTCCGAAACGCTCTTCAGATACGTTGTGGCCAAAGAAGGTTGCAGTCTTTGATAATTTTGCAACTTTAATTTCATTTAACTTTTCGGGGAAAATGACTCAAGAGGGTAACCAACTGTTGAGTTTGTTCTCATTTGGTCCATTTCCTTTTTTTTTGTACTCAATATACCATCGAACTTGTTGTTTGTGTTCACCATAACCCTTTGACCGACTATCATAGGTTAAAAGCCGGTCAAAAGGGTTATGGTGAACACAAACAACAAGTTCGATGGTATATTGAGTACAAAAAAAAAGGACCAAATGAAAACAAACACAATAGTTAGTTACCCTCAAGAGTCATTTTCCCAAAATTAAATACCAAAGATTAGGGCTGTAAACGAACCAAACGAACACGAACGAAGCTTGTTCATATTCTTTCGTTTAAGTTAACCGAACAAATGAACAAACATGAACGGTTAAACGGACGAGTTTTCTTGTTCATGTTCGTTCGTTTAACAAATTACATTGTTCATGTTCGTTCGTTTATGTTCGTGAACGTGCTAATCGAACGTAAACAAACGAACATAAAGGAACAAAGATAAACAAACATATATGAACATATAATATAGTAATGTAATCAAACACAATTAAACATATATGAAGATAAAAGGAACTTATATGAACGAACATAAACAAACGTAAACGAACAACATAAACGAACGTTCACGAACATAATTGAACGAACGGAACCATTGTTCATGTTCGTTCGTTTAACTAAACGAACGAAAATTTGTGTTCATGTTCGTTCATTTATTAAATAAACGAACATAAACGAATTTCCCGCCGAACAATTCACGAACAGTTCGTTGAACGTTCAGTTCGTTTACAGCCCTACCAAAGATGTCTCCTCAACGTATAGAGACTAGGGATGATTTTTTATTATGATATATATTTGGACTAGAAGTATAAAATTAAAATTTCAAGTACGAAAGATGTCTGTCCATGTATAGACTAGGGATGATTTTTGTAAACTTACTCTCGACGACGATGACTTGGGAAATATCGGAGGAACATAAAAGCCATGGCAACAAAGAACCCCTGCTAAAACCCTTTTCCATGGCAGTTTCTTCTTCTTCTTCTTCTTCTGCATCTCTGTTGAACTCTCTCTCCTCCCTTTCTCTATCTTCTTCTTCACCACCTCCGACCACCATTTCTATCTCCTCCGCCTCCTCTTCCAGTAATGCACCGTCATCGAAGACCCTGACGATCAGGCAGACTCTGATAACCCCCGTAAATCGTGAAGTCTGTCCTGATCTCCAAACAGTTATGTTTCCCGCGCTTGCGTTTTCAAATACATTATGTTTCAAATCCGCATACAACCTTCAGGTGATCGCGTATCCTGATGAATCCGAAGATAGTCTGGTCGGTCGGTTCCGACGAGAGGTTTTCAGAGCAAATATTGTACAAGAGGCGAAACGCAGGAGGTTCTTCGAGACTAATCAGGAGAAGCGAAAACGGAAAATTCGTGATGCTGCTAGACGAAGAGCCAGAAGGTAATGATTTTCCTTCGTTAGTTCGTTTCCGATTATTAAATCTACTGCGTACATATACATTATATCTGGTGGATCTTGTTTAACTTCAGCTCAGAATTGAGGATTTTGTTAATCAAGTTTTTAGTTGATAGTCTCGAATTAATATCTACTCAAAAACTCGAATCAAATTTTTGATCATAGAATTATTAAGATCTATAGTCAGACATATTACATTTGCAGAAAACTAAAAATTAAAGACAATGTTTAGGTGGTTCAGGTGGTGTTTGGATGTGCGATATCAAAGCAATTATTCATTTGATTAGGTAATTTTACCTTTCGAGGCAGATTATCAGAATCAATAATCTGATTATTCCTACTTCAAGAATCAGAATCAATTAATCACACAATAATTTGATGATACTCGGAGATGGTTATAGGTAATTTTAGTTTTAGAATCAGTTTTGCGAACCACCATCAAACGGATTATTGCAACAGGGTCCAGATACCCCTTCAGTAATTTGTCTACATGTGCATTTGTTGCTAGGTTTTTACATTATTCTGATAAATTATAATGATACATGAATCTAAGCAGCCTCCTTTTATAACAGCTAGAAAAACGTCTTCCTAAATACTAACTGTCAAAATAACTTTGAGATGCTTGGATCCAAGAAATTGTTATCTGGTTCCAAATCAGATTCCATAACATTGTGTTAGTTTGGTAATCAAAATGGCCAAAGCATCTTCAGTTTTAAATTGGATGCATGTATAGGTTTGAATATTGGCTTCCCATAGAGCTTCCATTTGCACTTGGTTTGAGTTGGAATTCTTCTAGACTAGTTACTTGAATCCACTTTAGATATGCCCACAAATGTGTCTTAACTCTTAACTCTTAACTTAATTCTATTCTTAGATTTTATGATATATTTATAGCATTAGAATGTCTGATCATGATGATGTACCCGGGGTTTGTGGAATTCCTTTTAAAGATGTATGTTTGTTTACAGGCGATCACAACCAAAGGCCAAAAAGGAGGAAGTTCCACGAAAAAAGGCAGTTAATGATGAAGGTGATGACAACTGGGGACCAATTGATGGTAAAATCCCTTATTGTCCATGAGAAACAACAACCATTCTTTTTGGCAATTTAGCTAGGGTTTGTTCTTGCACCCTCAAACTCTCATTTACTGATCTGTTAAACTTTTGCAATTTGTGTGCACTTTGACTTCTAATGATCTGTTATTGGCTTTTGGAATGCATTTCTACAACTAGTGGTCCTTGGTGTAAAGTGCACAAAAATTTTCCATTAGAAGGCACCATAAACAAAAAATAAAAAGTTCATCAGCACAGAAAAGAATTGATTAAATAAAAAGTTCCAATCCACGTCTAACAAGATAAAACTTATATTGGCAAACCATTTACGTACAAAAGCTCCAAACCATTTCAACAAATGAAAGTGGTTCAAGAGTTTAAAATGTAACAAATGTCTGAAGCTCAGTATCCTGTTCCAACTTGTGCATTTTATCTTCACTCAACACAACCCATGCTTCAATTCCATCATCACTACTTGAATCCATAAGCATTATAGAATTCTCATTATTATAATCAGTACCACTAATCCAAACCGGCTTCCCCCACCCAAAATCACTTTCATTAACACTAAACCTACACCAACTACTAAACCTGAACACCCCTAAACCTTTCTGACTAATATACTTTTTTATTTCTCTAAAATTATCTCTCGCTATCTCAACCCCATTTTCACCAATCAAACTCTTCAAGTACTCACCATCAATCTTCCTAAAAGACCCCCTCAGTTTCCCCACAAGATAACCCATGTCTGTTGTCTCATGAGCCACTGCACTAGCCATCTGAAAAAGATTCCCGAATTGTTGATCTTTTAACGAAGGCACCATCTTTCTCCTAAAGTTTACCACATGAAAAGCCACCGAGTCTTTACAACTAGACACGGTGGCCATGCACTTCCATATCAAGGCCGTCACCACCTCGACCCTGGTGGGGTTCAACCCCACCAGGGTCGTATCGGCCTTGACAACTTTGTGTTTCAGTTCCTTTATTGCTAAGGAACTGAACACAAACCTCTTGGTTACAAGTTTCTTGAATGGGTTGCCAACTGGTGGACCCCTTCCACTGTATTCATACGAGTCCACTGGAGGGAATAGAACCGCCGAGTCAAGACCCGGACCTGTCAACGGACTCTCGGGTCCTTTTGCTATCGCGAACCAGTGGCTTACGAAAGACGAAAAGCTACACGCGTCTGCTACTCTATGAGACATGGATACACCAACTGCTATGCCACCACAATCGAACAAGTTAACTTGGATAGCCACCTGTTGTTCTTCAACACATGATGATGATGATGATGATCCTATCAACACAAGTTGTTTCAATTCTTCGATGACTGGAGTTGTGATGATGGTCATGAGATTACACTCGACTCTGGCTACTGAAAACTGAACACCTTCATCGGTACAGTCAATGGCGTTTTGGTTGTTGGTCAACCTTCCGGCTAAAGGGTAGAAATGAGTCAAGGTTTTGGAGAGTGAGGTTTTGAGTTTGGTGGTCATTTTGGACTGTGATATGGTGGTGATGGATGCATCATATGAGTAGTAAAGAATGAATGGGATATGATGATGATGGATTTGTTGATCTATGTAGGAGAGTTTGTAGGTTTTGAGGTTGGAAGGGGTTGCATTTGATGGTATGATAACTTCTTTTGAAAGTATAGTCACCTTCATTTTAGGTTTCTAGAGAGAACAAGTATTTGAGATTGATGAGTTGAGTGCTAGTAGATTAGAAGAATGGAAATCTTAATATATTTGACATGGGTTTGGGGTCACTTGAGGACATGTGTTCAAAGAAGATACGTTAAATAAGATAAGTAGTTAACTAAACTGTATATTGCTGATGTGTTGGCATGGGGGGTGGGTGGGAGTAGGGGACCACCCCACTTGAGGCTCAAAACAGTATGTTTTTGTGGAAGAAAGGAGCATATGTGAAGCCTTGAATTAGCAAATTAATGAATCAAATCTCTCTTTTCATGGCAAAAAACATATTAAATGACTAGTGAATGTGCATCTGTCAGTGAAAAAGCATCAGGTGGTTCCCTTTTTTAGTTTTTATGGGCAGCACATTGCGATTGCTCTCGCCTACATAGAATTTCTCGAAAAGTGAATCATAAAAACAAAAATTGGGATTGTTTTTTGATGGGTAATTTTAGCTTGAAAAATTGACCCATCAGTGGTAGTTGTAGTTTGGCTGCATTAGTTGTGAAACAACACAAAGGTACATGCACGATTTAAAGGAATTGATTCTGTTAGAGGAATTGATTGAGAAAATTACTAACAACAATAATGGCCAAAATGATTGTCTTCTTTATTGCTTCAAGTCGTGTGGCCCTTTGGGAGAAAAACAAATACAAGATAGCAACATATATCAGATTTTTTGAATTTTGAGTAATATATTTTAGTTCTAGTAGTACTGAAATATAAAAATATAAACAACAAAACAAATAATATAACATATTGGTTTGGTGACAAATGAGACAAATAATGATCATAATTAGTTGACATCATATTCGTTCTTATTTTATATTCTTTGTCAAGGTCCTATCCTTATCATCCTACGTGTATAGTCATCATCTTCCAATGAGACCTCTTGTTCTTGTATTTTTTTTTTCTAGGTTTTTTTCATTGTCATTGTCAAATGATAAAATCTCCATCTAATTTTCAAAAAAAATAATATTTACTACTAAATATACACATTTTGCTTGTAGTGAGATTTGAATCGGTGACCATAAAAATTAACTAATTTCACAACATTTGATAAAACTAGGCCAAACTGATCATATCTCGGGCTAGAGGCCCTTTGGTGGTTAGTCCATCCAGACTAAGTATGCTAAAAGGTTTGACTTGGTGATAGAGAGGTAAAATATCCACAAGTGATCACGTCCTAGGTTCAAGTACTTGCATAAGTATGACTAATGCTTTAAATAACGTTAGACGTGACTTGGTGACAATAGCAAGTCTCAAGTTTCTACGAGTAGTTTGCGAGCCATGTCGTGTGTAAAACTTGACTTAAGACGACAATTTTATATATACTTAATATATATATATATATATATATATATATATATATATATATATATATATATTCTATTATTATTCATTTTTACATACATATATGACTTAAGACAACATTTTGTTAAAGCGTGACGTCAAGTACAAACTTTGGAGCCATGGTGCGCCATGACAAGTTTTTTAGAACCTTTAGTAAGACATTACTATACATTTACCTCTTCCATGTGAGTTTTTTTAGAACGACTAACACACAATCTCTAAATCATACTCTTAAACTACTCATTTGTCCATCAAATGACTTGAAGCCTCAACCTATAAGGGATGATTAGCTTTTCAAACACCTTGATATCGTTAGGTCAAAAACCCTTGGTACCTCCTCCATGTTAGTTATGGTATTGCATATTAGTGTGATTAATTGTTGTTCACCAACTAAAAATTCTAAGTGTAAAGCTTAAGTAAATGTTCTTAATAGTGTTCAATAGGTGTTAAAGATGATGTATCTATTTAATCACATCATTAGTTGTGGTGTTTAAGTAATTTGATAATAACCTACAAATAATCTAAATCTATAAGTTTTTTAGTATTGAATTAAACATTCTTGTCACCTAAATTATGGTTAAGGAAAGTAGGTAACCGACAATGATGGAAGACTAAACATAAAGTTTCAGTTAAGGATGGTAACACTTAGGGTGGACAAAGGGGGATGGAGTGAGTTGGTACCGTCGTTACTGTCGGCTACACCATTCCGTGGTGTATGGTACTCTCAAATATGCTTCGGCCCTTAACCATTGCTTCAACATAGCACTTAAACAACTCCCCATCGCCACATTATCTTCGGGTGTCATGGAGCCATTGATTTTGGTTGATGTTGAAGAGTGTGGTGGTGGTTGTGAGTAATTGAAGAACACGAAGGAAAGAAACTTGGCAAGGTCTGGTCATCGATCGTATCAGGTGTTTTATTGGAGTGAGGTAGGGTGAGGGTGAGTTTGTTTATTTATTTTAAATAAACTTTGTTCAAAGTATAAAATACATAAATAAATAAAGGTTATAAAAGTCATTTTATGGAGTTTATTAATGTTAATCAACCATAGTCTAATAATATTTAACTACTCTGTTTTAATGATTTTTATATTAAGGGGTCCACTATTTCTCTTTGCAACAATTGAAATATGATGTTTAATTAACATGTTTTGCAAGGACTTGAAAGAGCACCGATGTGGGCGCTTTTAGGGAAGGAATGGAACCCAAAGATGAGTACTCATCACCTTTATGATCGAGTCAAAACACCAAAACACGTTAGATCGGAAATTTTATGTTTTTTCTTTATTTTTTAATACATAATTAAAATTAACATCTTAAATATCATTCAAAAACTATTACTCAAGTTTAAAATCATGTTTTCTTTATTAAACAATTTATTATTTATTATATACTGTCGGTGATGTCTAAACCATTTGATATATTTTTTTTCAATTAATTTATTAGTTTTTATTTTATTTGTCGATGATGAAATTTATTTTAAAATTCAAATTAATCCGCTTCACGGTTTAAACATGTTGACATTCTTTAATTTTCTTGGATAACCTAATTTTTATTTCTCTAACCCCCAAAATTCAATGTTGTCACCATTGGTATTGGATGTTACATCTCTATATATGCTCATAGAGATGAGTTATATGTAATCTTATTGAAATATGAAAATAGCGTTTTATTGGCCGAGAAGAAGTCAAGAACAGGAAACCTCATCTCGATTTCTCTTAAGGTTTCCAGCAAGACACAGCCACAATGGGCTTCGATTTCCAACCCAGAACCAGACAACCTTTCTCTTCCGCAATGGTGTACCCTTCACAAACCTCGAGCTTCGCAAGCCATTGTTTAGCTCTACTCACCATTTTGATCGGTGAAGCCTGGAACCCTGCCCTACTCATTCGCCTCCTCCATTGATCCACCCTCTCATGCCTTTCCACCCTATTAGGCCCTTCACAACTCACAATGTTCTTGATTTCTTCCGCAAAGTAAAACTGTTCGATTTTGGCCCGTTTAGTGTTGTATTTTGGTAACATCGCATCAAGTGCATCGAAAATGGCCGAATAATAATGTAGTGCTTCCATGAACCTCCCTATGAAGAAAGGTCCGTTATGGTTCGAATCTTGTTCAACAAGAACCATGACTTTCGGGGCAAGCTCGTGGATTATTTGTAGAACCGAGTTTAACGCACCACGACTCTCTTTTACAACACAGTGAAGTTGGAGAATACTGTTTATAACCAGAACTTCGTTTTTGTAGGTCGTAATGTCCTCCGGTTTAAGGGTCTCCAAACTGCTCTCCACCGTAGAAAACTCGAAATTTATGCCCTTTTCTCGAGCATAGGCCTCCAGTTCGTTACCGATAGTAACGAACTGGTTAATGCAGGGTCCGACTGCGGTGATTCTTAGGCGACGTGGAGTCGAAGTCTGGCTAGCCAGACTCTCGATCAACGCACGCCATTGATGTCCGTGTCGTAGACCTTGTGTCATTCCTAGGTCCACGACATGGACATAACTCTCTCCCTCAAAGGCTTCCAATATGGATAAGTTGGCGACAAAGTGACTAAATTGAATGTGTGGGCAAGTCGTGTAGACTAATCGTAATGCTTCTTCCTTTTTCTCTAATGCGATGACATTCAAGTTTTTTGTAGGGGCTACCAGACCGACTGCACCCAATGGTTGCACTAACGCCAGTCGGTCTGTGAGCCCCTGCATGAAACAAGATGCAACCCTTTGGAAAGATGACCCGAACACAAGCGCGTCACCTCGAAGCTTAGCCAACAAACTCGAAGCATGAGTTTTATCACGACAAGCAACGGCTTCGGCACATGAAACGAGTAATTGGACTAAATGCATTCCGTCTCTATTTCCATCATCCTCAACAGTTCCGTACTCTGAAATTGCGTCCTCAATGGCCTCGGCTTCTAAATACCTTTGTGTATATGTCCATATATGGTCACGAAAACGAAGCTTAGGCAAGCTATTCATGCTCTTACTCCGATAGATAGTCATATTTCCAGCATTTAAGGAACATGTATCGTTGAAACTCGATTCAGGCAAGCTTTTTGATCTTTTCATCTTGTTATGCCCAAAAGATACATCTGTCAAGCCTGGTTCCTGCCAAGTAGAGTTTGGATTGTCAAGAATCGACAAATATCTTTTAGAATAGAAGGATGTGATTGAACGGTTTTGACCTTCTTTATCTTCGTCGTTTTCCAGAAGATCACTGGTACCCAGATCGTAAAACAAATCTGATTTACGTTTCGTGCCACCAAACCTGATTCTTGGATCGACTCCATTGACGACACCCACTTTCACACGATTCGTATTCTGTTCATTGTAAAGTGGGCTTGCCAATAAACCAGGAGCCATTGAAATCTCTTCTTATGTTTTTTTCTGTTTGAAGCTGAGAAGAGACTCAAAAAAGCTCTGAAAAAACCATAAACCAAGTGAAATCGACTTATATAGGCGCCAAGAGTTCTTGGTTTTCGCGATTTATATTTATTTAAACAAAATTACTATCGCAAAATGGATTAAAATACGAAGGATTGCTGACTTACTTCGATGTCTTTTTGTTAGGGAAATATATGCTAGCACAGAGCAATCAAATTGCAGCTTAACGTTCCCAAGATATTGGAGATAAGAGGTTGGTAGCCGGACAAAAAGGATTCGAACAATTTTACGGGGTTAAATGTTAATTTTTTTTAATAACAAAATTTTTTCTGTAATCCTTCATGCTTATATGGTAGAAGTTTAATTGAAAGTTTGTTGAACAATAGAAAGAGAACTCCAATTTAATTTAAGAGACAAAACATCCACCATTGACATAATTATCCCTTATAATTAATTGAGTTATATTTGTATTGTATATATTCTTACATATTTGACAAACTTAAATAATTAATAGCAATAGGGTAACAATCTAATATTTTCTTCAAGTGAAATTTTATTTGATTTAACTAGTAAATCGAAACCGAATAACCAACAACCAGTTATAATTGAAAATCTATTAAACCGAATCAATTAAACCTTTCACAAAACCTTAAGTTTTTCTAAAAATATCCAAGACTCGGTCATTGTTATAAGGTTCCGTGTTAGACCCTACTCTTTAGGAGCATCCAAAACGACCTTGTATGCAAGAATCCTTCACCAATGCGTAGAGAAGACTAATTCGCTATAAATTATTATGAAACCGAGGTTCATCATGTGAATCTAAAATTGCAGTTTCTATTTTATACAAGTTACATAACCTATTCAATCAAAACCGACCAATCGAAGCGTATGAATTATTCTTAATATAATAATAAATAAATTTGAGATACCATATAATTTGGCTTTAATTGCCGCCAAGACAACGGGAAATTGTGAAATAAACAAAGGATTTTTCACATAGTTGTGTTTGTGTTGTGCTCCGAGGTAACCCAACAAGAAGGGGCTTAAGGCTTTCTATTTGGCCTTCCTCCACCGGTTCAACACCGTCCCTCCACTTACCATAATAACAAATGTATTTTAGACTGATTCTATTTTACATAACTTTTTACAAAACCGACTTATTTGTTTATTAATTTTTTTTGTTTATTAATTAGTTTTAGGTGATATTTTATTTCTAACATGCTAAATTCGTAAAATCAAGGCTGAAAAGGAAATATGTTGACAGTCGTCCGAAGCATATTGTTATTTTTAAAGCATCCTAAATTGTTTCATTCAAGAATTTAAATAGCTTAAACATATGTATTAATTAATAAAATAAATTTGATCTGAATTGGAGATATATTCCAAAACTTGACTATAAGTCTAAAACCAAATTAGATGATTCTGTCCATAATGAAGTCCAACAATGATGCCACTTCAAATATTATCAACATCTCTAACATTAACTACATACATACACATGCATTACTTTCATATCTAGCTACAAACACGTCTACCAGTGAAAATATTAGGAATCTAGCATTTTAAAATGAAGTTGATACTTGTTCAAATCTTACATGCTTCAACTTTTAATGGTCCGTTGTTGATAATAGAAATAAAAATATACATACATAGTGTTTGAAAAACTCGATTTGTTTAGCTTTGTTATATGTTGGAGCTCATGTCATATACAGACCCAGCTCTATAAAGTTTAAGGTCAAAATATTTAATAAGAGAATGTATGTGACGATAAATGTTAAAATTTTCGTCAATAAATGCGTTTTCAGTTCATATTTTATATCTCGCGGTTTGGATTCGTTTAGGATGTTAAGGTTTTTTTATAGGAACTATGAAAATGTCACATGATGTTGTTCTGTATGTTTATAATAAATATGACTTTAAAATGGGTTTCGTCGTAACCTTCCATTTGAAAGTTAATTTGGCCTTTTTTAGGTTCGAATATTTATGATTTTGGGCTCAAGTATTCAATATACAAATGGGTAACATATTTACGTAGACATGGTTTTGGCTCAAGTTTTCAATAATAATTTTGATGGGTATCATATCTACTCTAATGAATGAATGTTATTTTTTTTTGCCGCATGTCACATTCTTATTGAATTTGTCAAACGTGGTTATTTTGAATTAATTTCTTTTCCAAATGTCATTTTAATAGTTTGTCTATTTTAATAAATTTCATATAATATTTTAATTTAATAATTACAATAAATATAATAATAAATGAATATCAATTCCATTAACGGACTTACCTTCTTATTTTAAAATTCCCAAATTAAAGCTTATTAGTTTGTTTTGTTTATTTATTTAAATTTAAAATATAAAAAAATCAATTTTAATAATTCATTATTTTTTTTATTTTCTTATATTCTTATAAATCAAAAGTTCTTAAATATTTAAACATTATATATATCATATATAATTATATATATATATATATATATATATTATATATATAGAGAGAGAGAGAGAGAGGAGGGTTCAATTGAGAATAACAATATAAGAAAATATGACTTATATATGTTCTATTCACATATGAATATAACAAAACATATTCATATGAGAATAAAAAAATATGAATACATATGTTTTATTTAAATATTCATTCGTGGAATATGTATGTTATATTCACATATGAATAGAACATAACTTGCTGCCCCATACATACATTATTCAAATGTGAATATAACAAAACCATATTCATATGAGAATAAAAAATATGAATAACATATGTTTTATTTAAATATTCATTCGTGAATATGTATGTTATATTCACATATGAATAGAACATAACCTTGTGTCATACATACATTATTCAATGTGAATATAACAACATATTTATATGAGAATAAAAAAATATGAATACATATGTTTATTCAAATATTCATTCGTGAATATGTATGTTATATTCACATATGAATAGAACATAACTTGCTGTCATACATACATTATTCAAATGTGAATACAACAAGAATGACTTATATATGTTCTATTCACATATGAATATAACAAAACAGATTCATATGAGAATAAAAAAAAATTGAATACATATGTTTTATTCAAATATTCATTCGTGAATATGTATGTTATATTCACATATGAATAGAACATAACTTGTTGCCATACATACATATTCAAATGTGAATATAACAAAACATATTCATATGAGAATAAAAAAATATGAATACATATGTTTTATTCAAATATTCATTCGTGAATATGTATGTTATATTCACATATGAATAGAACATAACTTGCGTGCCGACATACACGATTCAAATTGTGAATAAAACAGAAAGAATGACTTATATCATGTTCTCTTCACATAGGAATATAAAACAAAAACATATCATATGAGAATAAAAAAATTGAATACATATGTTTTATTCAAATATTCATTCGTGAATATGTATGTTATATTCACATATGAATAGAACTAACTTGCTGCCATACATACATTATTCAAATGTGAATAAACAAAACATATTCATATGAGAAGAAAAAAAATATGAATACATATGTTTTATTCAAATATTCATTCGTGAATATGTATGTTATATCACATATGAATAGAACATAACTTGTTGCCATACATACATTATTCAAATGTGAATACAACAAGAATGACTTATATGTTCTATTCATATATGAATATAACAAAACATATTCATATGAGAATAAAAAAATATGAAACATATGTTTTATTCAAATATTCATTCGTGAATATGTATGTTATATTCACATATGAATAGAACATAAATTGCTGCCATTACATACATTATTCAAATGTGAATACAACAAGAATGACTTATATATGTTCTATTCACATATGAATATAAAAACATATTCATATGAGAATAAAAAATATAAATACATATGTTTATTCAAATATTCATTCGTGAATATGTATGTTATATTCACATATGAATAGAAACATAACTTGCTGCCCTACATACATTATTCAAATGTGAATACAACAAGAATGGCATATATGTTCTATTCACATATGAATATAACAAAACATATTCATATGAGAATAAAAAAATATAAATACATATGTTTTATTCAAATATTCATTCGTGAATATGTATGTTATATTCACATATGAATAGAACATAATTGCTGCCATACATACATTATTCAATGTGAATATAACAAAAACATTCATATGAGAATAAAAAAATATGAATACATATGTTTTATTCAAATATTCATTCGTGAATATGTATGTTATATTCGTATATGAATAGACATAACTTGCTGCCATACAACATTATTCAAATGTGAATACAACACAAGAATGACTTATATATGTTCTATTCACATATGAATATAACAAAACATATCATAGAGATAAAAAAATATAAATACATATGTTTTATTCAAATATTCATTCGTGAATATGTATTTTATATTCACATGAATAGAACATACACTTGCTGCCATACATACATTATTCAATGTGAATACAACAAGAATGGCATATATGTTCTATTCACATATGAATATAACAAAACATATTCATATGAGAATAAAAAAATATAATACATATGTTTTATTCAAATATTCATTGTGAATATGTATGTTATATTCACATATGAATAGAACATAACTTGCTGCCATACATACATTATTCAAATGTGAATATACAAAAAACATATTCATATGAGAATAAAAAAATGAATACATATGTTTTATTCAAATATTCATTCGTGAATATGTATGTTTATATTCGTATATGAATAGAACATAACTTGCTGCCATACATACATTATTCAAATGTGAATACAACAGAATGACTTATATATGTTCTATTCACATATGAATATAACAAAACATATTCATATGTGAATAAAAAAAAATATGAATACATATGTTTTATTCAAATATTCATTCGTGAATATCAAACTCATTTATCTTCTACTTACTATTGAATGAAGGTA